GGGGGGGGGGCTTTTACATATGCGTATGCTGATAATCATCACAACCGTTGTCGAGCCACTGATGGATGTAAGTCTCTCCAAGACCTTGCCATAGACTTCTGAATTCTGCTATTTTCATCCAGGCTGATCAAATGAACTTCTTCAACTGATCCTATCATCGATCTGGAGTACTTCCAACGGGCCGCTTGCTCTCTCAATGAGCCTAGTCTAATATCTTTCTGGTCCAGCAATGGTCGATTCTTCTTGCAACATGCCTTGTCCAATACCAAGTATACGTCTTCCTCTATTGTTTGTTCTCGCACCGCAGAGAATGTTTCCTGCTATTCTGCAGAAATGCAATCCAATAGGTGTGACAGAAAGCAAATGATCAGGCTGGAATCCGAATGAGTTGCAGCACAACGGATAACATCTTTCAGACAAATCGACTCCTGGAGCGTGAGAGGGAATTCTACCTCCATCTGTGCGTAGCCGTCGTCAACTACGGAAAAGCGGACTACATTCTAGCAATGCAGCATGCAATGCACTGGAAGAGCAAGACACTGACACCCTTTACATCAACCTAATTAAGGAGACGGTTTGTAGCTGCTTAACGAATATTGTTATGTTAGAACCCCCCCCCCTCCGGATTCCTGTAGAGAAACGAGTAAAGTAAGAAGACGTCATCTCCTCAAAACTCTTCACTGCCTGCTTAGAAATATGTTTATGATTTTGAACTGAAAGGATGAGACTAACATCAGTGGTGAACAGCTCGGTCATCTAAGGTTCACTGATGACGTGAAGATTTTTCGGAAAAAGCCAGTCAGCTGCAAGACGTGCTACAAGAGCTCGAGAGAAACGATGTTGAGGTCGATCGGTGAATCAATCGGTCAAAGACTAAGATATTGCGATCAGATGCGTTGTCAAAGGCCCCGGTAATATTAAACGGTTGAAAGATCGACTAGCTCAATAAGCACTGCTTCCTGGGCCAGGAGATGAACATGCCGCATGATCAGGCTGGAGAGATTCAATTAAGAAAGAAGACCAGTTGGAGCCAGTTCCATTCCATCAGCGGCTCCTCCTCGGCCGAACTATGAAAGAAGCTTGCACCCACATCTTCAATTTTACCGGTCACCTTCGATGTTGTATGGCTGCCAAACGTTGCCATTTACTAAAGCCGAAGAGCCTCCGCCGTGTTTCAATCAGAGAGCCATGGAAGAAAGAATGTTGAGAATTTCACGTCGCGATCACCTCCTCACAGACAGTGGACGGAAGTGAAGGATGCTGTCATAAAAAACAGAAGGAAGAAGCTACAGCGATCCGGGGAATGTACCTTGGCTTACCTACAGGATGATCGGAGATGATCGTCGACTTGTATCCTCGTAATTAGACTAGGAGTCGGAAAGACCGCGCTTGGAAGGAGGAGGCTCAAAAGCGCAAGGAATGGCGGACTTGCTGCGGCCGGCGCAATTCGTCGCCGATTACCAGTGGGTCCAATTGACCCAAATGATGAGGGTGGAAGCTACTGTCGCAGGGGAGGGAAATATTGCTGCGAACTGCAAACTCTAATTCTGGGAGTTTAATTTTCGATTCGTAAGTACGCCTCTTCTGGGCGAATATATGTTATTTGATGATTTGAATATGATCCGATTTTGTCATTCACTGCATCATCACTCGCTCGTTCACTGTTAGCTTCTTGTTTAACGAGCCTTCGGGGTCGCTGTATCGGCTAAGGAAAATGATTGCGCCAGTCTATTTCCCTGAATACGATTCAATAAGTTTTTCGTTGTCTGTCTTCTCTGCAACGAGTTCAATCGGTGACTGACTTTCTTCTTACCTCATTCTGTCTCAAGTGCTATATGAAAACGCTGATCTCTTGCGTGGATAAACGATATCTTCTTTTCCTCGAAACGCACAAGTCATCAACAGCTCACAGTTAGACATCACAGAAGCCGCCGAACAATTATTCAGTGCATTTCCGCTGATACGGCTAGAAAAATCTCTGCGTTCTTTCGAGCGCAAATGACGTATTTGTGGTATGCACGAAACTTGTAACTTGCCATTTTATGTCGCCAACACTGACCTAGTGCCTCTGAAGTTATGAATGGACCGATGAAGATAATATGTCGTCCCATTCATAGCTAGATGACTCCTCGACTAATGTAGTAGTAATTGAATTACTGTACCTGTACCTGTACCTGTTGATAAACGTTTATTGCTGAATTTCAAGTTAATGATAGGCATTGAACTCTGTTTCCATGACATCAGCCAGAACGGTATCACATTGGCGGCAGAGTCGATAGCAGCTTTGTCACGAGCACACTGTGTGGCTATCTTTGTCCTTTCCACACAATGGTACATCAACATTATGGGGAAGGAAGAAAGGCGAGTTGCACTATCGACTGACCAATCCCGCTCTGCCACTGAACGACAGTATGCAATTGCCCAACATGTCGTTGTACTACTCTTCTAATGCAAAACTTACTGCACTACTGTGCTTCTTTTGAATGAGAAAATAATCAGCTCTGCAGAAAG